GGAAGAATACAGTATGTAAATGCCCAACGCCAGATATGAAAAGTTAATCTCTTCGCGTTATTGAATTCTTTTTCTGTGTGACAGTGTAAACATTCAGCGAAATCAGCATTTCGTATATGGTTCTCCAGCCGTCCAGGCGACGGAAAACTGTTTACATGCCATGGCTTTTAACACCAAAATTATGTGCATTACGTTCAACCATTATACGAGTCACTCATCTGTGTCATAAATCAGCTAATGTGTCATTACCTTGTGGTTTTTTGCGAATATTGTCTACCACGTCATATGACAGTTGTTTGCTGATAGCCGAGTATGAGCATAGTATGTTGGTTTTTCTCGGATCGGAAATCCAAAGTTTGTTATGAATAATACCTCGTCAGTCTATTTGATACCCCTGTTTCGCTTTATACTCCTAAACTTGTTCACTGTCACAGTTTAACATTCCTACCTTCTCGTTCACGTTGACTATCAGTGGCAGATTAGGCAAATGTGCTCCAACTGTTTATACATCTGCATCACCTGTACACGTGATAGATAGTGGTACGAGGGCTGAACAGAAAGTTTCCAGATAGGCAGTGCAAGTGTGAGGTACGGATGACCGGACAAGGAAAATGTGAACTGCAACCTATTGTGACTACTGTTCAGTGATTGCAACCCACAGAACCTAATATCCACAGCCAAGCACAGCTCATAAGTCCTAAGGTTTCGCTATACTCGGACTGTAAGGATGGAACTCAATCAATTTCAACATAGGGAAATAATTTTCTACGCCTGCAAATGTGATTTAAAGGGGCAGCATAGTGTTGATCGTCTTTGATAATGACGTTCCTTGAAGAAACTGTATTTGAGTAGTTTACGGAATTCAAGCGTGGCAGGCGGGCCCTGTATGATGATACTCGATGTAGTCGACCTGTGGAGGAGGATGTGCAGGTGACAGTGGCCCAACTGGCGGGATTTCATTGGGATCAAGTGTACCATCCTATATGAGAAGCTCGATCTCAGATAAGTTTGAGCACACTGGGTACCCCATCAACTCAATGAGGGACAGAAAGCAGTTCGGGTGAATTTCTACCGCACCATTCTTGCCAGGTTTGATGGTGCACGTTTTGAGAGACCATCAGTGGTGATGGGACCTGGGTGTACAGTTACGACCCAGAGACCAAGCAGCAATCGGCTCAATGGACACCGGTTGGTGGGGCGTCGCCTCAGAAATTCCGACAAGGGTGCTGTGTGGCAAAGCAGATGGTGGCTATGTTCATGGCTAAAACCGGTCATGTGACTACTGTGCCGCTCTTACAGCAAAGCATAGTCACCAGGGGATGGTACGTCATCCATTGGCTACCGAAAGTGCTGCAAGCTGTTCAGTCTCAGTTTGTACAGCCGTTAACCATGCACTATCGTGCACCGATTTTTGTTGCTATCTTTCGGCTGCCCATTTGGATGAACATTAGGAGAAGGACAGGAAAGGTTGAAAGCAGGATCTAAGAGAAAACTGAGCACCGAGGACCTTACTGCACCATCACACCGCACTTGCACACAGGTCTCATGTCGTCGGCGATTTTCTGGCTAGACAACACATTCAGGAGGTTGCTCACGCACCCTACAGTCAAGACCTGGCTCCGTGTGGCTGTTTTGCGTTTCCGCATGTCAAGAGCATAATGCGTGGAATCCAATACGAGTCACCAACATCTGCAGTAGTGGTCTTCATTGAAGTGGTCGAAGGGTTACCCGCGCCGGTATAACCGAGCTGTTTCACCACACGGTTTGAGCGCATGGAACTGTGCCTGATTGCTGATGATGAGTACTTCGGGAAAATGTAATGCTTGTGTAACAAATAAAACATTTTGCACTCGGATACGTTTAGCTCAGCCCTCGTATAGTTCAATGCGCGAGGAACCCCACTGGTTACAACATCAAATGTAGAGTTAACAATTATAATTTGAAATCTAGGTGGCCACGTTCAGCCACAGTTTCACTTGAACAACTGTCAACCCATCACGAGTCTCTAGGCTCTGGCTGCTTTCTGATGTATTGCATATATCTAAATACTAAGTGAAAATATTAAAAGATTTTGTTCGATTCCATGGCGAACTTTGTTGTGTGCAGAATAATTGATGCGTGAGCTGAAAAATAGGAAGTATTGGAGGACTGCTTCAACCTGGGTCGGTCTAATCAGTGGCACGAATGCATCAATCTAACCAGGCATTGAGCCCGAAACCCCATATCTTAAGCAAGAATATTAAAGTTTGCTTTCTATTTCTCCAGGTCTGTGAATGAGGATTATGCCACTTCCGACGATTGGTAGTTCAACTTTTCTCAAATTAAGAGTGATGGTTTCACTTCCGTATACCAGACTCACTGAGGAAACCGTATAACATTCCTGTCTTACTCTTAACAAGTATTGAAGTAGGGGATAACAGCCAATTGGTGTCACCAAACAATAGATGCAAAAATCGGACCATAGTGACGGGACTCGAACAAATGAAATATAGGACAACGAACAACAGGCTTATATCGCTGTGCCACCACAACCCTTCGCCAGGTGTTAGATAGTGACGAGTTTTTCTTCGGTCTATAGAGTTTTTTCTCGAAGAATGAATCGCCCCAAAAGTATAAATACGCCCTCAAAATATTTGAATATCATACCTAAGAGCGGACGACCACATTCGATTCCTACCTCCAACTCAGAGGGCTTGGATTTCTTGTTACCAATAACAAATGGTTGTGTTTTGTGATCAAGTTACACCCCTTCTTTCATTCATAAACCTGAGGTATTTAAAAAAAGCTCAGTAACAGTCTTCAGCTGCCAAAGGAAGGCAGTGACCCTATCAATCTGTGCATTTATCTCAAATTACTTTCAAAAACATTTTTCATTTCGACCATTTGATTTTGGATTTGGATTCCTCCCCAGTAAGAGATTGTATTAAAGTTTATCTGGTCAATTTACAACACGCAGGAAATACAACCTGTTTTAGATTGCTTACTGGTGGGAGAATGTTAATATGACACGTGCTTCACCCGTCCTTATATAAAATTATTGTCCGAGATCGACATAAACAAGAATAAATTTACCGTGATTTGTTAAACGTTGATTAGTTATCTTTGTAGCTGTGAACTACATCATCATTATCATCATCGTACAGCCTAATACAGTGAAGCAAACTTCACTGATCGCTGCTAAACTCATAAGGCATACAAGATAAATGAGAATGTGTGGGGGGAGAGGGATTGGGCCTATTTTTAGGGACGGGAAAAGAAAGTGAACCACTATGGTCCACACACGGTGCACGGTCCAACCGTGCATACATACTATTTCAAGCATTCGGGTCTGGTAAGGATTGACAGCATGATCGCCACTGCTGTCGGTTTGCTACCATGACCATCAGTGTCTCCAATCATCCAATCACGGAGTCCTTTAAACCCCAAATCGAAAGACGAGACACCTACGAAAAACGAAGCTCCTTGAGGTACAAGTTTCAATCAACCATAGGTACCCGTGGTGTTGCTGAGACATGATTTTCCTATGGTGGGGGTAAAACTAGCTGACATAGGCGATTTTATGGTTGATCGTTTTTCATACAGATCACCTAGTTGTAGCAGCTCTTCACATTCTTAGTTCAAGTGAAGTTTATATGTAACGTTGCTTTTGTGTTTTACCACCAACTACTCGATGAAGTCTCAACAAACAGAACTGCTTCACACTGGTTCTGTCATGGTGACTGATATCTGCCGATTCATCATATTTTAGTCATTAAAATAACCTGTTTCTACTGTAAGTACCAATTTGGAAAACATTCTGGAAAAAGGTCGTGCAAACGCACATTGCGGTGTTTTTCATTGGCATTCACGTTCAACGATGAGTGGGAGCAACTTGGTCTGTTAATCTGTCTTCCGAAATTTCAATAATAATTACTGTTTCATTCAAAGAGATGCTGTGGTCTATTGAGATACTATTGCATTGTATTTCACTTTGTGATCAGTTATTTATTATCGTTGGGCAAGTTTAGTTAGCATTGAACAGCTTTCGGTTTTGCAGTTTCCAAAAGTTCTTACAACCATTAACCATGCACTTTCGTGCGACGGTTTTGGTTGCCCGTTTGGATAAAACAGCAGGATGAAGATTGGAATGTTGACAGCAGATTCAAGTGGAAGATAACGCATTTCTATGGACTAAAGTTACAAGAGTAATGAGTAGATACGTGAGCGCCACTGTTTGCGACACCCAGCCATATCGCTCAGTGTCTCTAACCATTGGTGACCATCATCTCGGGATCCGCAGCCAGGAAGCCGAACGCGACCTATGTGACCAAGTCTCCTGATTAGGATTTTCTTACCCTCATGCCAGGTCTTAGTTTGCCTGCCCTTGATGTTTTTCCAACCGCTTCCTGCCTCGGCAAACATCGCTCGGTATGGCAGCCTATCTGGTGACATGCGTAACACATGTCCCAAACAGCGTAATTTATGAAGGTCTACTACTTAATCCAGTGGACGACCGTGATTACCTAAAACTCTACGCCTAACCTCAGCATTGTTCGTCCGGTTATTTAAGTGCTGACCTGGCCGGAGTGTCTATCATCGGCATGATAATCGCGAGCTAACTGACTATGCCTTTGAAAGTTCTTTCAATATAAAACTTATTTTTATGTTACATGTTTTCTTACTCGCTACCCAGGTGTTTTTATCCCTGTTTTATTCATTTCACACGAGGTACAGCAGCTTTATATTGTACATCTCCTTCCCGAAAGAGAAATGTCAAAACGAAAACTGATATGGTCACATCCACATGAGTTTGAACGTCAAACCATTCTGTATTCATCCGGATTAATTGTCGAAAACATTGTTTTTTGTCAATCAATAGAAAACAAATAACGAAATTTATTCTGCTAGACAATTTAGCTCAATTTTTATTGATTGTGTGTATTTGAACAATCATAAGTATTGTTTTTAATTTCACCTGGGTTCCGGAGTTTACAACAAAATGCTGGTGGAGCTTGTGAGTTTTACCAGACAAAACCTAAGCGCTTGTTTGTTCCCGGTTGGTCTTTTGCATTCTTTTTCCCGTTTTTCGTGGATGGTGAAGTTTTCCTCGACAGGACCGCATTGTTGTTGTTCTTGTCGCCACTTTTGCTGTTGTTGTTGTTGTTGTCCGAGTTCACAGCGTCACCTTGAACTTGTGCTAAGTTCACAATACTCACCTCACCCGGCAATGAAGATCCCAGTCCGATGTTCCCCGTGGGCCTAGCGGCTACTTCTAACGGATATATATTACGCCCGTTTGCTTTACAATGATCGATAACCTGTTAAAACGGTAAAGATAAAAAAAAGCTCATGAAAGCGCCAGAACTCTGTGATTCTTCACTTTTCTATTACTTGTTGTGAGGAAAATTAGGAGCTTGGATGTGGAAGAAGTTTCTGTTCGATAAAATATTTCGTTTACTAATTTATTCTGGTGGACACTCAGTGCGAAGCTAATTATTAGTTGGTAATGGAACAATTCTAGTTCGTGCAAATTCTCACTTCAAATCTGTAGGAGCACACATTCATCTATTGAGAAATCTGTTAAAATCTGTTAATAAGTAGTGTTTTCATTGAAAATGAAATAAGTTCTGGTAGATGGACTGATTGATCAGTTTGTGTACTCAAAGAAGTACCGATTCTCCCAAGGTTAGTTACCCGATTGTCTGTTAGACAACTATTCCTAATAGAGATTACGTGTGTTAGTGATGTTCAAAAGATCTGTTTTGATCTCGAAGGTGTGTGATTCAAAGCAGACTATCATTATCAACATTCGGTGGTAAACAACTGCTGTCCGGTTTGATAGCAAGATTTTCCTTTGGATGGTTTGCCACTTTAAGTCCAGGGGATCAGGATGTCAGTTACCACGACGAATCAGTCGTTCTATGTATATATTTCGTACACGTCTGACTGTGCTATACAAAACCTGATACTATAATCTTTATGAAAAAAAGAAAAACGTCCCATAATTCGCATGTGGGCTGAATACTACCAGGCTGCCCAGGCAAGGCAGTTTAATTCATTCTGAACAACCAGTAAACATGTACGTTCGTGCTGTGGCTTAGATTGCTGTACTTTGACCGCCCTTAGGGTGTACCCGTTCTGCTGTTCATCACAGCAGTTTCGTAATTTATGCTTGTTATGCTGCACTGGTTTTGACATGGGAGGCGGCTAACCATACATCTACACTGAGGATTCGAAACCCGCTGATTTTAGAGACACTGAAAAACTAGACATGTATAACCTTCATATTAAAAGGATATAGTGCGAATATGAAATGTACGAATTAAATATCCTATTGTTTATTTTACGCAACACTCATGAAACTTTCTTCTGGTACAATCATTCCAGAAATCTAAGGCTTACCAAAGATACATAAAAATGAAATGTCTCTCCGACCGATCCTAGACTTGTGCAACTCCCCTTGTCATGCCATAAATAAGTTGCTGGTAGCGATCATGGAAAACCGTGAGAATACTGCTGGCCAATTACACAATAAAGGATTCCCATGACTTCGTGATTAGGATTCACAACGCAAACACAAATGGATTACGCATTATATCACCCAACATCAGTTCACTCTTCGCAAATGTTCCCATTACTGAAACCATTGAATACATATGCGACCAAATACAAAGAAGTAATTGTAAGATAGGAATACCAGTTAGTGATCAAAAACGGGTACTATCTACTTGCACACACAAGATACAATTCAAGTTCAATGGAGTAGTTTATCGCTAAATATATGGGGTAGAAATGGGATCAGTTTTGGGTCCAAATATTTGCAGATATCTGCATGGCTAAGCTGGAGGCTAACATCCTCAAACGAACAATCGATGGTTGCGCATTTTAAAAGTGTTACGCGGATGGCATTTTTTGCTTTGTCGTTAACAGTGTGAATCTGTCAGGACTCTTGGAAGTATTTAACTCGGTTCATCCAAACATAAATTTCGCTCTAGAGATCAAAGAGAATGAGCAAATTACATTTATGGACTTTCTACTAACTCGAGAGAATATTCGGTCTTCCATGACCAACAAGAAACAGTCATCATCCCACCCTTCAATAATGACCCCAATCAGTGTGCGTGTGTGACGACCTGAGTATGAGCAACCTCTGGTCAGGAAACTGGAATATTGATTACTTTAGGAACAACACACAATAACGAACGAGCTCGTTTGCAGTGATTCTTCTGCAGGATAATACATCATAATTTATATAAAACTGTTTTTTAGGGGGGGGGGTAGAGAATCATGACAAATTGGAAAAGCAACATTCCAGTTTCATGACCGGACGTTGCTCACACTTCGGTCGTCATACATGCGCACTGGTTTAGGTGAACCCCCAATCCCTAATTTAAATTTTTTCTTAGTTGTTTTATATAATGTTGTAGCATGCGTACCACTGAATTCAACTAACGACCTTTCCGATTTCACCTTCAAGCAATGAGCAAATTTGTTGTCGTTTAAGATGATACCTAAACAAAGTTTATTAGACTGTTATGATCCTCCCGAACGCAATCTAGTTGGAACAGTGGTAAAGCACACGCCTTTCATGTGTAGAGTGTGGATTTCAACTTACGAAAGGAACCATACACATGCACTACTGAAGTGTTCCAATAACAGTAAAATTCGAGTTACTTGACTGAAAGAATTGACGATTGTGCTTAAAGTTGAAACCCGAAAGGTGGTCAGTCAAATTCAATAGTTGAACTTTCTATGAACTGACTTGAAAAATCACTTACTCCGGGGGTTGCGTTTGTCGGAATAAATCATAGAAGACCTTTAAGGTGTCAGTGATATGTGCAAAATTATAAGGGATGTCTAACATAGCCCTATCATTACATTGTTTATTGCAGATAGTTTCCAACTTATCGTCAATTTCGATTCACGAATATCAACTACTGGAAATTTGTAAGAAGACTTTAAAGTAAAAACTATCAAAATTAGTTGAACGATGCATATAGTCATTGCTTACTCGTCTGGTATAATCTTGAAATACTTCCTCTTCGATTTGAGCCAATCGGTTCCCGGTACGGTATGTTTGAGCATCAATTACTCTACTTGCTTTTTTCTCTTCCTGCTTTTTATTCTGGAAAGTAAAAATCAAATTGTAAAAGGAACAGTGGTGGCAGACAGCACAGACATGTACATCTTTAATTTAACTTTAAAATGTTTTATGCACAACGAATAAAACTGAGACTAGATAATTTATTTGTAAATGCTACTGTTTGTGTTCTCTTAAAAGATTAATAATGCCTCATCCATAGTGACGGATTGTCAGGCTATAAAACTTCGCAAACCGAAATTTGAAGTGGCATTTGGCTTCATGTGCGACTCCGTGATAATTATATTTATAACAATAAGATGGTAGATTCGAGAAAGGGATATCAGAATTCAGTCCAAATTGATTCCATGTTAACTTCAGTACTGAGAATGGATTTGCGCTGGTTGTATATTTTTCCTTTTAAAACCCTTTTACTTACAACTAGCATGATTGTCCATAGAGATATTTGTAAAGCAAACAAATATTCATACGCTTCAGTATACATTTATTGATAATTAATCTGAGATTTTCTTGATAAAGCTTTTGATTTTTGTCCCCGTCTCTGGGTTTACATGTACTGTTGTTCGAGTTTAAACCGGAGAAATATGTAACAACCCACCGCAGACACTGGTTTAAGACCCCAAGTGATTGCTAAAGCGAAAAATGAAATCCATTGGATTCCAGAGGACAGAAGAATAGTTCAACTTCTGTGAAAATTACAGACAGTAGATTATGAAGACTTTATGGGGTATACAAGAATATATGTACTTAAAGTAGCCGCTTGTTTAAAGTGTTGCTTAACGACTGTGTAGTTAAGAAGTTCTGATCGACGGCCGACAGTTCCAGGTCCAGAAGTGCTCGCTGGTACCGTCTCTGAATAAGGATAAAACGGTTATTCATTGCTCTTTATTGCTCACTGAAAACAAATTTCATCACATTTAAATACCGTAGTTTATTTCAAACGAGTCTGGAACAAGACTAAGCAAATACTTTAATGATAGGGAAACCAGTCTATTATTCATTTGTATCCAAAATGAGTCCATTCAGCAAGTCTAAAACGTTGAAATAGTGCACTTACTGTTTGTTGCAAATATTCTTCACTCAGTTCTCGATATCTTTTCAGTTTCGCTTCGGAACAAGCGGCCTCATATTCCGTTATTGCACGTTCCGCCGCCGCGCGAACCCGAACCTCTTCCAGTTCAGCCATTTTCTCTACCTCCATCTCTTTGCGTTTCTGTTGAATTTGAGACACACGATGCTTTTCGATTTCAGTCAACATCTCGGCCAGTTTCTTCGCCTTTTCTTGTTCTTTTTGCATTTCGGCCGCCTCGCGTTCAGCTATTGCTTTACTAATTCGTTCTTCTTCATCTCGTTTTGCCACGGCCATCTGTTCAGCCAGACTCAAGCGAATTTTCTCCAATTGTTCCTCACGCTCTCTAACACCATAAATGATCACATACAGAGAGAATTGGCTGAATTCAAACTTTGCCCCTCCAGAGATAAGTAACAATTTTTTCTGGTTCTAAACAAATTGAGTCCTATGTTGTTGTATAGATAGAAGTATTTTCTGTCGCAACCATTTTTTCCTGCCAAAAGACACTCACAACCTCAATGGGGAACAGTAAAGAAGATGAAACAATGCACTTCGCTTAGTGTCCTAAAACGTAGCAGAAAAACATTTTGCCCATTTGACCCTCAAGCGTATCAAACAATCGGGTTAAGAAAGACTAACTAGCAGTCGATGAAGCAATTTAAACGAGAGGATCTTACTGTGATCGGAATAGCAATATGAAAGTTGTGGTTTGCATTGCATTGTTTTTAACCACTGGTTTCAAGCGGCCTTTACATCGTGAGTAGCGTGATCAGGTCAACCCAATACCCGAGACAGGTATTGAATGCTTCACATAAGTATTTCAAATAGCGTCTACAATAAAATCACTGTCACTGAATGTGAAATACATTTCAGTTTGCTTTCAATCTTTCTTTCGGATCAGCTTCAGATCTGGTATGTTGATGAATGAACCAATAATCAGTGGTTTATGAATCTCACACGTACCGGCATTCTGAGTTGAGTTTACTAGGTAATACAAATTTTCTCGGTGTCTTAATATTATATATTGTCAAAATCAAAGTTTTATTACGGGAAATACTTGCAAGCGGTTGGTTTTCTTCTAGGATTTACCGCACAAACAGACCGATATACGGATAGTATAGAGATAAGTAATTTTTAAAATTTTATTCATTTATTGTACTGCTACGAATGTCGAAATTTAAGACATAACAATGTTTCATCCACTATGTGCCTAGAAGAATCAATTGTAGGCGTATCAACAAACTGAAGTGGCAGAGTTCCAAATACTGCCCACTCTGAGGGCGTTTGGAGCACTAATTTGAATGAGTACACCTTTAAATGAGCGTTGGGCGACAAGGCGAACAGTGAACGACATGCGTGATTAGAGTTCTGAATTATTTGATACAAAAAAATCAAGTTTCCTCGTATTCAGCAGTACTGTGTGAAGTACAGTTCCCATGACTGCAGTCTTTCCACTCAGGTTTTAGAATTCAGTCCTGTAATCATTTTTGTGAACGTTCCAGACTCTTACAATCACGGTTCAGCATTGCATTCCACGCCTGAATGGCGTACTCTAGGTGGGGTCGAATGTAGGCTGGTAACAAACGTGGGAACAGCATAGGTTCTAATTTTCCAACTACTCGCTGCAGCAAACAAACTTGTCTCGTACCGGTGGACGAAACCCTGGTGCAGTTTAAAGAACGACTTAGGTCGTCTTGAAGAAAGACATCGAGATCCTTCTAATTCAAGGTATATTGAAGTTGCTGATATCCCAGGAGGTACTGAAACCGAGTTTTGTGGCGAAGAGATACAACGGTACATTTTGATGCACTAACCCCAATATCGCTTAGAGTCGACCGTTGATAAGCAACACTGTGCGTTCTCTGAACTGCCAGTGGGTCCTCAAGTTTTGTCACTGTTTTCCATAAGCTTTTGGTGGGAGCATCAGATGAATAACTATGAGGTCAGGCTACATGTGCTAGGATCAAATAGTCTTCCGTTGGGCAAAATAATTTTACAGCATCGTCTTAGGTGGTCAGAGCACGTCCTACGAATGCCTGAGCAACGTCTGCCACACCGTGAACTATGTGCAGAAATCGGCTCAGCCTGGAAGAAACAAAGAGATGGGCACTCTATGACGTGACAGAGAGGGTTAAAGAGATTCTACTCTGATCTGGCCTCCGCTGGGGCCTCCCGGAAGGGGCGCAAAGATTCAGGTTGTCTTTGGCTGGAAACACTACGAGATACGGCATCAAACCAAAGTCAATGGCTTGAATTCATCATTTCCTGTGTGCCATCCCAAAAATAAAGAGAGACGGAAAAAGCTCAAAATGGCGTGGAGTAAACAAACAAAAAGTTTCATCAAAACAGTAAGAAGATAAATGTCGCGAGATGTTAACATTTCGTTTAATCTTCTCAGTCGCTGACTTAAAACAAACAGTCACGTATATAGTACATGGGATCAATCAATTTTGGTGAACAAACATGTACAAGCATACAATGATTACTAAACTTAGAAATAGAAGGTCAGCTCCACAGTAAGTGGATTGCTAGTTCAAAAACTTCTGTGCGCACAGGGTCGGGTGATGTAATCGAATAAGCAGTGCTTCACTAATCGCCAAAAGTTTAGCATTTCGACTACGTAATAGTGGTTTGAAAGACGAATTGGGGTCAACTGTGTGTCATGTCGCCATGAGATCACTTGGCCATCATTTGTCGGTTGCGTCATCGATTCCACCAACCACTTTGGAATATGTTCGGCCATCCCAAAAGGTAACCCGTCCCAAAACGTCGATAAAAAGGCCATCTACATCAAGCTTGCGTTCAGAGGTGATCACATTTACAATAATGTGCGTCAGAAGTTGAGGTCAGCTCTAGACCGTACATTCCCAGCTGCTCAACTCAGACTCATTGCCTGCACTCGTAGAATCGATTTGGACAAACGTAAACATGGCTGGCAAACCAGTTCCGTCTCACACACTGTATACCGGTTCACCTGCAGTTGCGGTGACGCATACATAGGCAGAACAAACCGTCAGCGGTCACAACGGAAGTTTAANCAATGATTCATAAATTCTTGCAAGGATACTAGTGGATCACACTTTTCGTTGAAAAAATTCCATTGGAATTCTCTCGCCAAAATCCTAAGTTTGGTGTATTCAACATGTATACAAGAGTTAACCGTATAAAGAAGTATAAAAAGTTAGTCAAACGCCAATACATGATCACTATATTCTAATGGGGATCTACTAAAAATCCTTTCAAAAATCAATTCCCTGTTTGCCAAACTTAAGTCCAAGATCGACAATGACTGGTTAGCTCCAAACCTTGTCAGCTCCTTCATAAAACTGTAAAGTGGATGGGATTCAATAAACGGGGCGAGTTTCCTCTTAAACGGTTGTATAGTGGTCACTAATTTAGACAGGTTTGTGAATTGGAAGTTTCCCATAATGAGGAAATGCGTGAACTTTAGTGACGGAATGCTGGGTTGGCAACAGCGTTTCAGTGGCTGCGCTGTGTATATAGGAGAACGGTACACCACATCGATCAAGCCAATATCACGCGGTAACAGCCGCAATTTTTACCGCAGCCGCAGTAAGATAATCAATTACTTCGCACTGTGTTTTGCTGCTAAAATAGAGTAGTGCATCGCCACCCCTCGTGCATCCACGGCTTATGAGCGGCGTCATGTTGAGTTAGCCTAATTCTGAGTCCAGAATGTCGGTTGTTAGTCAACTTTCAGGAACTGCAATAACTTCCCAAGGATCAGTTTGGCAACTCAGTTCCATCTCGGAAAATTTGCTGAGGAAACCTTGTACAAACAATGTAGTTCATAGCGAAGTAGAAACTCGTCGGGGTGCGAAGGGTTAGTTGAGCAGACCATATTGTGGTAGGTTAGGGGGAAATTTTGGAGAAGGAGATCGTTCTTTCTGGTCTTTCCCACAACTCCCAATACCGGCGAAAGACCTGGTGCGGCAATGATTGACATTGTGTGACATCCCATTTTTGCACTTGGTCGTAAGGCGAGGCTAAAGATATATGAAAGTCAGCGTGCGGTGCAGCTCCAGGACCACCAGTTGGTCGACCGAGCTTAGAGATCACAAACGGGGGTTTTTAAACTGATCTCATTCGGGTTATTCTGCTACAGGCTCTGGGGAAATTCCGTTTTTTTTATAAAAACAAAAATACCTTGACGATCCCATAAACATTTGCCTGTATAACAGTGCAACTTAAATTACCAGTCAGGTAGCTTCCTATGTTTGTTAGAATACATCAATGAAATAGATGTCGGTTTCAGTTCGTAACTCAATGGTTGTGAGCCGATCCTGATATTGAGTTAGATTGTCGGGGTTTCAATGAAAATATCGATCGCCCTTATGAAGTCGTTTTTTACCCTTCACCGAAAGTTGATGCTATCCGCACAACTGGCTCTCGTAACAGCGAAACACTAACAGTACAATTAGTTGAAACCTTTTTCCTTATCGAGAGACACCCCGGGAACCGAAATAGAACTTGTCTATCCGGGGGTGCTTCTATTCGTGGAAGAGACAGTTGAGGTTGAACAAGAATGTGGTGAGGCAGTTGTGACGGTCACTGAGGACAGTGCCATCTCAGAGGGAGGGGAGTGCAATGGCACCGAAAGTGCACTGGGTGATGCATATCCTCTAAAACAAAGTCCTCTTTTTCACTCCCTTTCAGGCTTCAATCGGCGTCCTAACAACCTAGGAACGTTGGCTGAACGGTAACCGATCTCCATTCTTGTTTAAAGTTACTTGTTGGTTGTTATCGAATTTATCAACAGGCCACGAATCTATCAATCAATTTGATTCTCGTTCGCTCCCGGCCGTTGTGCGCTCAGTTTTAGCGCCGTTGGCAATAACGGTGTATTGCGCAGGGTTTGTGCCGTGAGTGATCGACTTCACTTTGACTCTGCTTTCAACATACCAGTCTTCGTTCTGCTCTTTCATCCAAATCGGCCGACAAAAGACATCAACCAAAACCGGTGCATGAAAATGTATGGTAAATAGTTTTGAAAACTGAAACTGAAAACTCATGAGCATTCCTGTTTCCTCGTTAAACATATCTTATAGTGCAAGCTTACATTTTGAATGGAGCAAAAAGTGATGAAAGTGCGAGATTTCAATACACTTGGCAATCCAGTGTACTGTAGTTTAGTCCCGCAGTACAAAATTGGCGGGATGTATCGTATAATAATTCTTGCTCGTGCATCTAAACACTCCCGTCTTGATTTCAATAATGCAGAACTATGTGAGAAAGGAGAAAGAAGAATTTGTGAGCACGTAGCAATGTCAATTGGATGAAAACAAATGACGTACTTGAACATGGCTCGTTCGCGTAAAACTCTCATTTCAATCATTTTCTTTTTAGCTGCGGCAAACAATCGACATTGTTCGTCCTCTTCCTGATAGATATAGAAATAAACGAATTAACTTATCGACATTAGATTGTATCTGAAAACATGAGAGGTTTTATTGGCTTCAACCGGAATGAAGCACAGCGTGTCTAATGTTAACAACAGCCTAGTATTCAGTCCAGGTGGAAGAAGGTTGAATAAAATAACAGTTGTACTAAGCGCGACAAATTCAAAATCTACTGTGCTTGGTCAGTAGGTTTAAGATGCAAGATTTCTGTCAGCCTAAGTTAGTCCTGGATATCTAGCAAAGCGAGAAGAAGAAGGAGAAGTTATTGAATTGGTCGGTATGTACAATTCGTGGAATCAGTCGGTTTGATTATCAGATGCGTTGCACCCCAGACTTTAACGGTATCAATCATGTAGTTTATCTTTGTTATGCGATACGGTATGGATAGAGATCTCGATTTCGTCTTGAGCTGAGCCCTCAGGTGGGTCTTAGTCCTGAATGCTGGGGAAAGTCATAGCCAAAACCAGCGCACGAAAGTGCATGCCTAATGGTTGTAAGAACTGAAACTGAGACACGAAAGGGAATACTTTTGGCTGCGCGGAGGACGGCCGCACACCGCCGAAGGAATTTTGCAGGTCCGATTGGCCGCGACTATTTTCCGTCCTGAGCAAACTGAATTGAAATCCTGTGATTCGTTGTGTATGTACTCCCGGTCCTAAATAATTTTGTACCATAATTTGTCAGAACCATGGCGTGATCCTATAATACCGTAGATAAATATCCTTACATCGCTTTTAGGAAGCCTTAATGTGCGAAATTTATAAATGTATAAGGACTGAACGACCTAACCACGCCTGAACACAAACCACAAAATATCGTCTTCATCTTTTCATGCTTGGCTGCTACTTAAATGCCCTGCTAATATTGCTTTAGGCGTCATCCGCAAAACAATGGCATTTTTATCGAGTATTCAGCATGGTAATCAGTCCTTATTCATATATATCCTTGTGCCGAATAGGAACAAAGCTGAAATTCTACTATGTTATCAAGTTTCGCAAGCAATTAACGTTTTCGAAAAAGATAAATGATGTCGAAGTTGACTACAAAAATACGCAACTATAAAATTCCGGTTTCTCTGTATGGTGCAAATCTGAGTTATTCAGAAGCGTTCGGAACTCCGATGGTTTGTTGGTTCTGAGAAAGCGAGTCGGTGAGCGAACAATTGTTTTTGGATATTCCTGGACATGCTCTTACATATCATATAGCGGAAAAATTCTTACATAATGATAGTCATTGGCTCAATTTAAGGTCAATAATCGGAGGCAGAGAGTAATGGGAGAGTATATATGTGTGTAAGGGGGGGGAGTACTCAAGGTTTGTTAGTTATTCCAAATGTGTGTTACTTACTTCTTCTTTCAGTCGCTCAATCTCTTTCATTTGTTGGTGACCCAAAATTTGTTGTTGACAGTCTTTCAACATTTTGTCAGTATTTTCTTTGCTCAATTGTTCCAGACGTTCACGTTCTAACTGATCTTCAATGATCTGCCTGCGCAGTTGATCTCCTTCTGCCATCCATTCTTCTCGTTGTTTTCTTTTGGCCTCTTCCTTCAGCTGCATTCTATACCAAGGATTATAACATCTGATGGTTAGAATGTGGAATAATGTCAGTAAAAACCTCAGTGACAGTCAAATTTAAACAACATGGGTGGTGTAGCGAATAAACTCTTGCAAGTCGTACATGCATTGGTCTTGTGTTTTGGGTGTACAAGACTGTTCTCGAGGCTTAAATGCATACTCTCTAAATTTTCAGTGGAGTTAATCGATTGATGCAATACCGTATGCCGCCATGTTATTTCTGTTTATGTGGTTAACATTTTCCTCAATCCGTGAGGCCAGAAGGAAGTAAAAATGAGTTTTCTTTCCACGAACTTCAGACACCTTTTGCTTTCTAGACAGCCTCGGAACTTCAGATATCTGGATCAATCTTTAAACGTTGATACCACTCATCACGAGAGACAGTCAATTGGTTTAGATTCCCCAGGTTTCACAAATTAAACCACTGACAGAAAGAAAACCGACTAAGAAAACAGGAAAACGCTAGTTTGCTTGAAACACAAGATCCACAACACTGTGATGGAAAATTAATTGAAACTTCTTTTCTCCAGATGACTCTCCTACGTTATTGTGATTCTAGTGGACAAACCACTCGAAGTAGTAAATAATTCATGGGACATCACTCTCCGCTTGAATATGTTTATTGCAAATTGATAACGAGCGTGATGAAGAGTTTGAAGTTTTGTTGCAAAATAATGGTGAAAACGTGTTTTATTCATTAAATTATCATGTGAACTTTATTGAAAAAAGCATGGCTGCCGACTGGACAAGCAATAATCTTCCTCATTGCTGAATCGTTCTTCAGGAGACACGGTTGCAATGAGGAGAAAATTAATTGTTAACATTACAGTATGAGAAAGGACTAAACACCACTTTCAAAAGCATATTTGATAACCACCCAAGGTACTTCAAGACACTTCAAAATCGAACTTCATGCGAACTGGCAAACGAAAGTGCACTTATTGAACCCTTCTTTTAGTTGTCCTGGCAACTGATAAATCACACAGAGTAATTGATAAATCCATGCAACTGTGAATACTGGAGTGCGTACTGTTCTTTTAGGAAGCCGGCGTTTTCCAAATTTTTCGCAGTTCTTTCGGCTGCTTTCTTTTGTTCGGCCAAAGTGGCTGAAATATGAATTTACGAAGGCAGAATTTTTGGTCAATTGGAAGAAAATTCAAAATGCACGAAAAGTGCAGTGGTAAGTGTTAACTTACATACAAACAAGCCTTCAATTTGATTTCCTTCTATGTGTAATCATTTGTTAGTTTCTTTCATTTTCACACACTCCTAAAATCTCGCCTAGTTCAAAGAAGTACACAAACACTTGAACATAGTCGAAATTTTGCAAGTTATGATGCTTTTCACAGTTACAAAAGTTGATACTTTTTTGTTCGAGCTGCTTAAATTTTAAATTGCATTGCAGATGCCAATAGTTGTCAGGGGTTTTCTCCGAGAAAATCTCAATCGGTCTTCGGCAGTATTTGGGTTTACTGTGTTTGGTAACATTGTCTTCAGGTAGAATGCTGACTACTTTCTTAAGCGAATAGCAATATGCTACTCAGTTTAATCTGCGTACTGTATTCTTTAAAATGTGAGGTGCAGGTGACTTATTCAAATTGGCTGTCCTCCCTTGATGATTGCTCCATTTGTCATAGTGGAAGAAGTCTGCATTATTGTATTGAGTATTCGATGACGAATAGTACAACAACATCCAAGCCCGCCTAGATTTGGTGGCTTTAAATCAACATGCATATGATCTGCTTTTAGACTGTGTAAAAATGGAATCATGGGTCAAAATTCTGCGAAACATGAAAAATGGTCAGGGGACGAGACGCAAAGAAATGGATGACTGAGTCTACTACTGAAAAGTTCTGTTTTTCCAGGTTAAAAAAATTGTAAATAGTATTCCACTGAGGGCCTGGACTGCAGATTCACTGACAGTTGACTGAGTTGATCGAGTTACACAATAATTCTGGTACGCTCATTGAAAAATAGTACCATGCCAAACAATCTTCCTTTTAATGCATCATTCACTAGTCAATTACTGCACCGAAACTAACTAAGGAAAATATGAGGAACTAGACGAACTGATTGGTAATGTAATACAGGTTGTGGGTTTAAAATGATGTGCCTGGAGTTAAATGTATTATGCACGGAAGTCACCCAGGTTTGGATTAGATACTTTAGATGATGGAATTGAGTGAGCACCGGGAACTGCGAATTATTATCAGATACAAAAATCGTGGTGCCATTGCAAAAGGTCACCAGTTTTCTGAATCTCAATAAGCTCAACTTAAAAAGCACCCAATAATCATGAGAATCCATTATGCTGGTCTTTCGAATTAAAGCTCGTTGACATATACTAAAATGACGAGTAGTTTGTATAGTTATCTAAAGATTCAAAGAATCATGGACAGGCCAAAAATTGACCGTCCTATTTTGAACTTTGAAAGAAAACATTTATACGTAAATAATGGTCTATCGATTTTACACACACACACAGTCATAATCAGCTCAATAAATATAATTCTAACAGAATATGACAGAATAGATGAAATCTGTTTAAAACTCACTTACCCTCTTCTATTTCCCTTTTCATTCGTTCCACATACACTTTATCCTTGTTCTCATCCAATTTTTTGCACAAATTTTTAAATTCAATCTGGGCCTCACGCTCTTTGAGCACTTCAGTTAAGGCGAGAGCTGACTGAAAAATGACATATTAGTAAGCCATCACGGGCATCATATATGTTACGTGAAATGTTTTAATTCTATCTGTCTGATAGTAAATTTTCAATTTAGCCTCATCTATTGCGGCTTTTCTCTGCTGCGCCTGATATTTGGCCTCTTCCAAATCAATTGCGACTTTGGCCTCTTCTTCTTTGGCCAAGCGTTTGGCTCGATCATCTAATTTCTTCTGTCTGGCTCCCTACGCAACATGGGTTTGGATGAAATAGAAAGTGAATTATGTGCTCGAAGCAATAGAAGAAGGCTACCAGAAATGTGTTTGTCCAGTTCTTCACCATTTCCTGTGAGCTTTTGTGAACCTCCTCTTGAGCTTTGCGCTTCTGCTCGATTCGTTCGATCTCTTTCACATCGCCATGAATTTGATCTTTCAAACGCTTCCATTCTGACTGACTGAACACCGTGACATTTCTGGTGTCCACACATTTCGGAGATCCAAGTTTCCGTCGAACCAATTTTTCTGAAAAGAAATCCGCAATGAGGATTGACATCTTTTATTCTTATTGTGCATAATTTTGTGTTAAACATAACATGATCACCTCGATAGATATATTTGAGGTCGAATTAGTCTAGAGCCCATTCCATTTAGGCTTTTTGTGTATAGTCACTCTAAGTCCTATGGCTTTAGGTATTGGCTTTCGGAACGTGTTTCTGTTGCCACAGGTTGCATTCCATCTAGTCTTCTTGATTCTCAGGAGTATACGACAAAGTTTATACTATGGCACTCTGTCCAAAATCCTGAACTATATTGTGTTTGTTTCGGAACGAGCGATCTCTGGAACGGCATTATTTATTTCTGCTTCTACCTGTGTGTCACATTTGACAACGCATTTTACCTAACATGCACGAAAGGACATGGTTAGTGGTTGTAAAAACTGAATTGAATTGAACCTAATGGTCTCCAGGAGGTTCCTTTTTCTTTTTTAACCTTACTTCATTAAATACATAATGATGCAATTTGACGTTATCACCGGGCCTTCACCGCTCCGTTGCACTCATGAAAAAGTCAAATTGGAAAGTACTGCAATAAATTGACTTGATGACTGTCATCTGCAATAAATTTTTGAAAGGGATAAATTGTGCCCAACGATTATCTATTTATTTTATCAGTCTGTAAGTATACCACAATTAAAGATCCGCAGGAATTTAATGAAGCACACGGCTATCAAAATGTGATATGTCAATAGTTTTTAGTTTTGATCGTACTTGCATGTTTTCGGTCATATAGATATTTTTGATTACCTCTAAGACATGGTACATATGTAAACCATAATCGAAGTACTGAAATTAATACAATGATAAATAATGGCAAAACTGGATCAAGTGGATAAACATCGTCTATCCTTGTGAAACCCACTTTTGACTTTATCGCATCTTGTCACAGATACAACGGATCTCATGGAGTCTAAACCAGAAGTCTAACTTAATTTATTTTTCGCAGTCCAATATTTATGTTTCTACTTTGCACAGTCATTGTCCCTTGCTTTTACACTTCGGTTTTGGCTACTGGCTCTTGGTAAACAACCCGGTTAACCGGTAAGTTATGAGTATACTTTGAAAGTCAAAAAACGCTACTAAGATAAATGTGACTTTTAGTAAAATGTAGATGTGTGTCCATGAAAATGTATGGTTAACGGTTGTAAAAACTGAAACTGCCACCGAGAATACAAGCATAATCAATACTTTTAAAGACATTCTGTCATATGACTCAAGATACTTAATCATCAGTTAGACTCACACTGATGTCCATAACGAGGAAGCCTAAAGTGATTTACGTGATTGCACTCAATAGAAAAGCTGCTCAACAGTTCATCTCCATGTGTGACTGTTTTAATATTGTATGGCAATCGATATTATTTTCGCCTTTCACCTATAGAAATACGCCATTGATAAATTTATCAAAATGTGAAGACGATCAAACTAAATCTAATCAAAAGATAAAATATATTAGACAGTATTGTTGGATGTAATGTTGTTCACATGAAAAAAATCAAAAACGCAGTAATTCTGGAAATGCAGTTCAATTTGATCAACAAACTGTTTATCTGAATGAGCTGGTGTGAGCCCTCCGCCTGACTGCGATAAAGTTCTGATCTTGCTGTTTCTTTGGAACTATTTTATCACGTGATATTGCCCCCAAGAGTTTCATTATTGAGGCCTGCAGTTTTACGTCTTAGACCCCCGTCTTCCTGTCAGTGAAGTAGAAGAAGGAGAGAACCGCGCAGAATGACGGATAGCCGTATTACACCAAACTGCTGCTAAGTGACGGTTCTTTCCTATCGTTGTTTGAAAAGATGACAGATATTTTTGAACATTCGTATTCCCCCCAAAACTGTATACTCGTTGTAGAAGACTATATTTGTTTCCGCTAAGATCGACAAATACATTTTAAAAAGACCTGAGTTGTCATAACATTCCTGCAAGCCTCAGTGTGTCTATCTATGTAGCTTACACACGCTGGAGTTCAGACTGTGCCAAACAAATCACAGTAAAATCTGTATAAAAAGAAAATGGTTCCATGATTCTCCTGTGGGCCGGGTACTTCCAGTTTGCCCAGGTAAAAGCAGGTGAATTTTCTTGGGGAGTTCAAAACCGGAGAGTAACTGTGGAAGGTTATAGGTTCCGTTAACATATTCTTTCGAAGATAGTTAGTTACTGCTCGACCGTAGAATGCAGTCAATCTTTTCATTACATTATTTTACCGTATTTTCACTCTGTTCATTTCTCAATCTGAAATGAATCCGCTTATGAACTTTGTCATTCCGTTCATACTCTTCCTGTTGGCAGAAGGATTATTTATTAATGTTCGCGATTGTAATAATTTCGTCTACATTCTCTCTGGGTAATTCCAGTTTATCCAACACAGAAGGAATTTTCATTATATATGGGTTTATCACCAATTACCATAATCTGTTTACTCTTTATTTGAGGGTCCTCTGTTTTCACACCAAAAATTTTACTCTCCTCGAGTATTTAACTCAAATTCTGAGCTGAAACAGATTAAACAAAATAACATATCAAAATTGTTTTTGTATTTGTTTTATTGCTTCTTTCTCAAACTATCTTTACATATAGTCTTTCTGTTGTTATAATAGCCTTCTCTTCATCACTTAGCACTGACAAACTAAACTTCAAGTTTGACCTGTGTTGTCCCACAAAGGTAGGATAGCTTCACCCTCATTTAAGTATTAGGATAGACGGAAGGAAGTTGCTTACAAATCACACCACTCCTCTCTGTTAGGTCAAGTATTCCCCAGGATCAAGTGTGTAGTAAGACGTCTTAATAAATCGTTTGCCGGATAACTACCAGACGACAAGAGTAAAAAGTAAATTTGGCAGAGTATAAGCTTCTTCTTTAAACGACAGAAAACTGTCATGATTCAGAGCACTAACATTGCTGAGTTAAAGTGGACGTTCACCTAGTGACCTTCGGACACGCCTTTCTCTTTCATCCTTTCCAGCCAGTACGCGATCGACCTTACTCCGCACAGTTTTTCAAGCCCCTTTATAATCCTCAGTTCAACCAGATAGTCTCTATGATACTGTGGTGATCGCGTAACGAGCACGCACGCACCAAGGCACAGCTTCCAGGTAACCAATCCAGAAACTGATTTACCGACCAATCCTGTGGTCTTCATTGGCACCAACCGGATTGGCTGAATGCTAGAGGGTAAACAAATAAACCATATCCTTGTCCACTGGACATTGAAGAATCGACCAATGACTGTTTAATGCATGATTTTCTGAATAGAATTAACTATATTCACAGCTCATCTTGGTTCTACTTGACTTTGCGCTATTCAGTGGGTTTTCAGTCCGATTCCGAGTTCACGCCATTCGATTTCGATTCCTATTCCGAATACTTCAGGTACGCTCCTCAGTTAAGGTTCTGGGTTGATGATAACTCTCGTCCCTAAATCTGTCGATATTTTTCATTCCCAATCCGTGGAGACCGTTCACTCTTATCCCCAGCCCAAATAGTCCCTCTCTAAAATTTTTAAAGGAATTTTGTCTAATTACTATTACCCTTTCTGAGCCAAATCTCGTTAGACGAGCCACTGCCGGCCGTTTTCACGTGAATGTTAACCGTGATTGTCTGCAGTTTGCATATAAAACTAGGAAGTCCGTCTAAGACAAAGTGTCTCTTGTGGTTTACTGCATCATTACCTCTCTAGATCACTCTAAAAATTATTTAGTTTTATACTTCCTCTTGATGTTTTTGGCGTTTGATTCGGTTCTTCGGTCATCTTTCATCCTCAAGTGTTTACTCAATTGTCCATTGCCTAGTCTCACACGGTTAGATGATTTTCTTTTTTTACTGCAAGAATTCAACGTACGACGTTGGATAGAAACTTATCCCGTCATTTAGTAAATAACTCTTCCGCAAGGGGCTGCCTTTTCACCCTATTTGCTCATTAATTACATTAACGTTTCATCTGTTACTTCACCTTCCAAAATCGTCAAATATGACGACAAGTTTTCGCAATTTCGGTTTATTTCGAATTGTTTTGATTACCTCTCTATACACAGTAATATGAATGCTACTCGGTATTCGTCCGTCAACCTAATTATAATCTCAAATCATAAAAATGTTACGTTTTTGCACCTAAGTAACCCACTGAACATTCTCTGACAGCTCTCGCGATTTTAGAGTGAACACTAGCAAAGACCGCGCTGTATCCTTAGGAGGTTAACTGCAAAATGCTGCTCACCTTCTTCCTACTGTGGGCGCTCGGAGCAATCGGTTTTTGGTTCTTGAGAATGTTACATATCCCCAAACGTCCTTGGTTGGTGTTGTTTTCTGGAATTTCGGATAAGGCCTGTTGTAGAGCAGGATAACTTCTTGTACCGTCACGGGTTTTCTATGAAGGCTGAAATTGAGACCCTTCTGGAGTAGTCGTGATTCTATGGGCCTCAGATGTGTTTTCTCTGTAAACAAGTGTTCCCATAAAAGAGAGTTTAGATTTTCTACGTTCTTTGCTGATGTCTGATGTCACACTAGGAGAACGAGCTTTTTTAACCCCGTCAGAAATTGTTACTGGTCTAGGAATTTGTCTAATTTCAACTTTATCTACTTTCAAACACAATTTGTACGGACAAACCAAAGGTGTTGCCACGGGATCTCCCATCTCTCCCATTGTAGCCAACCTCCTTCTACATTCAGTCGAATCAAAGGCCCTCTCCAGTTTTGATATACCACCACGTTTGTACGTAAGATAAGTAGATGATACGTTTTTAAGTCACAACACACATGCATTTCTTGATTGTCTAAACAAACAATGCAGCTCCATCAACTTCACATTGGAGTCAGAGGATGCGAATAGAGTCATCAGTTTTCTAGGCTGTCACCTCAGGGTGAACGACTCACGCAAATTTACCATTAGCGTTTACAGAAAATCGACACATTCCGATAAAATTTTACATTTTGAATCAGCCCATTTGTAATGTGTTTAAAGGACTCTTATCTCATCTCTGGCTGACAGAGTCAAAAAGCTCTGCAATGAAGACACTAACCGCCAAATGGAAATGAAACGCCTCAAAAAAGTGTTAGAAGACAGTAATTAACCGCCACTCCTGGTAAGATGCCAGCTAGAAGCGAACAGACCAATGATACAACCTAATGACAAAAAAGACCGTGTAGCCTCTATTGGCATTCCATACAGGTCAGGCACTTCAGAAGCAATCATAAAGTTTCTCGATGACTTCAAAATACTTCAAAATACTCTGAAAAGCCAAAGATCCGGTAGAATTGCAAGATAAAGGCAACTGGGTTAACAAAATTAGTTGCAAAGAATGCCCCGCAGTATACATTGGGCAGGCCAGTAGACAACTGAAGACAAGGATAACCAAACATAAGAGAAAAGAAAAATACCGGCCTTCGAACAAAGCAACTCTGGCAAAACCAGAACGAGACTCGCGATCGCTCTTCAAACCATGGCGAAGGTCACACTAACACAACCAGAAAATACTCCAACTCGGATTTCGAACATGCACTGGACCCAGTCTCATAATGAGAGTTAGTATGACAACGAATCATTCAGCCCACCACAGAGAGAGAGAGAGAGACAGGATGAAATATCCGTTGACTTGTGATCCTTTCCTCTGAATCATTTGATTGTAAAATCTGTTTTGAGAAAGGTTACCCACGTAACCGAAACGTCGGCAAATATAATTCTCTACCGACATCGCAGTTTTATTAACATTATAACATTCCCAAGAAAACTCACGTTCTCTTCGTTCTGATTGCTCTCAGTCATTATGATCCTCCAACTTGGCTTAATTTCCGGTTCCTGCTAGAATCAGCGTACATAGAAATTTCCCTGCCTCATATCCAACCCGTAACCTGGATAACAAAACGAAAGCTGCTGCTGAGCTGCGAATGAAACTTTAGGAAGAAGGGAGAACAATGCTTATCAACTTTTCGATGTATTTTTCCTTCTCTGTTTATCTTCCTTTGAGATAGCTTTTTGGTTTTGATTTCGACTGAAACGTATTTATACCCCCTAAAAAATCTGTTCACACAATACAACAAAATTCAAACCTTCATGCGTAACTTGAGTGTATTTTAGTTCCGATCATGTTTCACCACTCCACGTCTTTTAAAAGCGTAACTGGTTCAAATTGGTTGCATTAGTCAAAAAACTGCAACCAATGTTATAAAACAAAAGTCACTTTGTATCACATCATATTACCTAAACGCATACATGCATAGCAATCCTTGTCGATGAGATTCCAAAATAACCAAGAAAAAATCGTATTTTGGAGTGGGGTATTTCGGGATGCAGAAAACATTTGGGAAAGCAATTACGCCAATGACGTTCATTGAATGTTATGTTCCACAGTCTATACGCCAAGTAACAATTTGAATCTTTTGGCTCCCAATGTTGAAGAAGACACCGCAACGAAATAAATATCCGCACTCAATCTGTCCCTGTCATAGCTTAACCATGTTGATACTTCCTTCAACCTGGTCGACTGTATGTTACAACCTTGTACGGTTTGGCTGAAACCAAACCCTAAGGTGAACATTCACTATGGCAGCATCACTTTCCCCACAGCTCCAGCAATTCGTTTCCGTTTCAAAGATAGATGTTCCCCCCCCCCAGGCTAAATCCATGTGCTTTCTCTTGTGGTGCGAGCTCAACCGGCCGGACAACAACACAGTTATCCAAGAAATAACGGAACACCACCCTTGATGGTAGGCACACGGAGAAAAGACGACAGCGAAAAGCGCCGTATGCCAACATCGACTCAAAAGTAATCACCAAATGAACGTGAATTTAGCGTTCAGAACCGTTTATTGTATTCCACCGTTATCACCTAAATCAGTACGGCTGAAGCAATCGCGATTGAACTGCTTGACTTCCCAGTATGCAATCAGAAGCGTTTTGTCCAGGCATTATCTCTACCATGGCCAGTGGCCAAGCAACAAACCGATGTTGGCTTGGTAACTGGAATAACGTCGTAAATAAGTGAAAACTCAAAGAAATTGCTGATGCACGTAGGATCGCTTTGTACATCAAGTAATATGATCCACCTTGCACTGAATCAAACAATATTGAATGCTGTACCTAAAAGAATTTAAACGGCTAGTTTATGAATCAATCATAAAGCATCTTGTTTTGTCTATTGGATTTTATTTTCAGTGTCACAATTACCGTTTTTCATATGGCAAATAAAGTCTGGGCGTTTATAACATCTACCCCACTCATTTCTGACAAATAAAATTATCTTACTTCATGAATGAGCACAACCCCAGTGCCGACTGTGTCACCTTATCACCGCACATTCGTTGGTTCTATCATGCACCTGTGATACTGAGAGAAGAACGGTTTCCTGAACCTGGTAGGCGTCGGATACTGGTTTCTCAAAGACAACAAAGTTTGCCTGAGTAAATATTGACCACAATCCATCTGTTCCCTTAATAGATCCCTTTTGTTTAGTACACTTAGAGTAAGTATAGAATTTTAACAATTGCGCAAGCTGTTCAATATTCCGATGACGACAGAATTCAAACACAAATAAATTTATTTTAGATTCTCTAAATGAGTACATCCGAAAAATATTTTATTCTAAAAGCTACCGGTTCTGAAGTAAAAACTGGGTTATGTTTAAAGTGGTCAATTCTTGGAAATCCGGGCAATATCAGCTGTTATAAACCTTTAAAAATCAATCAGTCAAGTAAATAAGTGTTTCTTATTTTCGTTTTTTTCTTGACTCTTTACAAAGATATACAACCAAACTGAAGATTTAGCACAGAAACTTCGTGAAAGTTTACCTTTTCGACCCACATCTGGTTTTTCTCAACGTCAAGTAATATAGGTTTATGAGAGAACAGTGCAAATTTCTACTGGCGCACAAGGTGGAACGACAACCTTGAAGTTGCCTCAAATGTCTGAAATTTCTCCTGCTGTAGCCTTGGAGACAAAGGTAATTATCAGCTTCTTGAACGCAACCTTCTGGCGTGTGAGAATGCGGCTACCCGATCCTACGAAAGATAATCTTACACTCGTACGGACTCCCCAGCCCCCAAAGATCTATTACGGTTAATGGTTTTAACCACGTGCACATTGTTTTAAAGAAAACCAGAATAATTGCCCTCGTGGAATATGTTCTGTGTTTACCGAAGGCAGTGCGAATTCAATTGGCCATTGGAGAAATCACTGTGTTTCGCATTTCTAGCCCTTCGTTATAACCAGTACATTTTCGTGTTGTTTTTCCACAAATCAGTTTAATTCTTATTGAGAAATGTCCAAATAAACCAGCCTCTCAGGCTCCTGACTGATGAGTTGTGTGACTCGAAAACGAGGATTATCCGGCTGCAATTTCGGAATATAACGGTCTCTGTTCAGTCGGACTGCGTCATCTGAGATGACTCCTCCCGGTCTCTTGTCAAAGAGAAGAAATAGAACAGTAGCTACAGTTCTCTTGGTGGATGCATGATAAAGGACGTGCATGGTGGAAAGAATTTAATATTACCCCCACAAGAACGTGACTAGTAAACACATGCCAGTTTCTAATCAGAAGCAGAAGGGGTAAATCAGGTGACTCATTTGACTTATTTGGTTTTCCCGGGATATCTATTTTTCTTAGACACAGATAATTGTAAAGTTCAATTTTCTGAGGAACCTGTTGACTGCAAATTAAACTTATGGAAATTGTCTTCTGCGCTTACATAGCTGCCGCTGATATACGCAGGATAATACCTATAAAAACAATTTAAACGTACATGAAATCAAAGTAATGCTTCAGTAACTACGGTTGCTGTGCTTGTGTTCAAGGATCAATTGAAATGGAAATAATGAAAAAGAAGGCTTGGAATCATCAGACATTTTGAAATTGGTTGTCAATAAGCGTAATATACTATATGACTGTGTACCAGTATCTGGATTATACGATGAGGAAGGCTTTCCCAGTGGAAATTCATATAAAATCCGGGAAAAAGCCCACTGAAAAGAATCTAATAATTAAAACCTTCATCTTCTTGTACAGGAGGCAGGGGAGCCTCGCTCATTGTCAGCCTGTTCACCGCCAGTACCGATCACAGCTCGCTCATTTGTCGGCATAATGTCACCGTCTAGCCAAATGCTAGCAGAGACGTCGTTTGAATCGCTTCTCATTCTGCTCCTCTATCTGAAGTGTTTTTCAGATTGTTAATAGATCTGACGGATTGTGACATTTTTATATGTTTGTAATGCATATACCAATAAGTCGTAGGTGCCATTATCTATATTTGGGGAGAGTTTGATATATTTTTATCGATTTAAATATTGCATGAACCGATGTCAGTTGGAATGAGTTACTGTAACGGCATGATTGAGTTATTGAAAACAGTTGTTCGCCGAAAATTGTGTTCGGAATGAATTAGTTTTTGTACAAAACTAGGAGCGTTTTATGATAAGTTGTTACAGTTAGGCCTTATCTAGGCCAGCGCCAAGGGGAGAAATGCAAGCTTTACATTTTCCAACATAAGGGAACTCTTTCGGTGATGAGTCGCGATCATCCCATACAGTTAATTTTGAGTTTAATCTGGGTTCCTCGAGGATCCCATTCTAGTCCTAATTGATTCCCATTTTAGGTGCAAGAGGCACTCAGTGGGACTCAAACGAGACAGAATCTCTATTTTCTTTCATCAGTTATCGCATCCATTCCAATGCAAGTTCCATGTAGATTTTGTTTGAAATATGACATTCCGATTGCTGAAGTAATTTATGGCCACATATGGTGAGCACTCTGGGTAGGGAAAGTCTGTGTAACGCAGCCATTGTTTGACTCATTTGGCGGACGATGTTTGACTAAGGGCGCGCTTAGTCTACATTCCGCGGTTCCGTTCGAGTCATGCATGGAGGAACTAAGGTTTCGGGTTTGATAACCTCAAATGCTCGGTGAACAAATATTTCAACAGCTTATGGAACGGTGAGTCGTTTAAACAAAGGTGGCGCTAAAAAATCTCACAATACTGACATTTTTCACCTATAGAGTCAAGTGACTCTGGCCAACACGGGCTATAAATCTATGCTGACTGGGTAACGTCGATATACTCAAGCAGGAAGACAGCTGTAGCAGATCAGATTCCAGAAATTGCGGTTTGAGGCAGCGAGACTCTAGACTCTAGAACCTAGCTAGTTTCTTGCGCGAGTAGGTGTGAATGTCTCACCATGCTTCAACCGTCCGGTATTCCAATACTTCAGTTCATCAAAAATTGATTGCCAGGTCCATGGATTGCAGAGTACAATATCAGGATCACTTCTGAAATGAGCAGCCAAATCACGAATAAGGACGGATAATTTGCTTATATCCGGCACTTTAAGCACTGCTAGACAAGCATCTTATGTTGACTGACAACAGAGTAAAATGAACGGAAAGATACCGGCGGTTAAGGGTGAAGTTTTGTTACGATAATAAAGGAATAAGAAGGAGCATATACTCGAGGATGGAGAAATTTAAACTTCGTACATTGCAATGGAAGGCAGTCCTTTCTAGAGTTTCGTTAAAGTCCTATCGAAATCCCATTTCGGATGCAAACGGACTCAAATAGGACTCGAATGGGACGGCTGTGCCGACTGGGATTACATTTGGGCCTTGAGTAAGAGAGTGCTGCATAGAAGGTTAGAGGAAAGATGTAAGAACTCATAAATTATATAATAGCAATAAGAACAACGGGATGGGGGTTGGGATAAAGAAAATAGTAAAAAAGGTGAAATTGTTAAAATGGAAAATTGCAAATAAAAGAGAAAAAGAAGTTTACTCTTATACTGTACAGAGTCCTGGGTTTACTAAACTTAAGTCCGTAACTTGACTTTTAGTTTTAGGGAGCAATTGTTTTGTCCGCCATATTGGTTTTTGTAGGACTAACTATCACCATTTCCTACATACGTTAACAAAATGAAGGTAGCACCTTATTCCTTATTATAATTCATTCATGTTTGCATTTATATATCGCAAATGGCAATGTATATATGTTAGTTATTCAAATATTTGTATTGTTGTAAACTTATTACGAATACCTTTAAATCATCAATGAACCCATTATGTATTGATTAATGTGAATCCTCCAGTAGCTTTAACTTTATTTTGGATGCATCTCTGTGTGCAATTCGCCTAGAATACGATAGGTATAGCGCACCAAATGTATTTTAGCTCAGACAATGATTTTCCGTGACCTAAAGTGGGCCAATTATCTATTATTATTATTATTATTATTATTACCAACTTGACCGTGAGGTAAGTAGCCTGCAAAGTTGATGTATTGCACTTAAGAAGCAGCAATACCAGCTTACCGGAATCAGGGACCAAAAACGAGAACTATTCACCATCGACACAGTAAAGCTTTTAGTCATTTTCAAAAATCTGTTACACAGGTCCTCAGATCACTAGCCAAGAACATCTGATATACAGTGCCATGCATCACCGCGATGTATTTAATCCTTATGCGCACGGAAATTAGATCTTTAATTGAGAGAGTCGATTTAAATAAGTCGGTTTTTCTACTCGGTCAACAAGAATTGATGTCCAACGTGAAAGGTGTGTCAAGTACACATTTCATTAATGAATGAATATGGGACAATACACTTAGATCGAACAATACTTCCTCACCTGTAACACAAAGGAGATCTGGGGTTAGTCCGTAAGGTAATACAGTACAAATGGATTCCTTTGTCTTCATTAACAGTGCATTGAAATGGAGTGTCATCTGTCTGCTGTCGTCATCATGCATAACAGTGGGTTCAAACGCTAATAAGCTTTTATGTACAGGCATTTCGTGATAAAGTTGCTCGTGTGTTCCCAATATTGTTGTCATTTATATTCCTCTGTATTTTTTGTTAGGTACTTAAGGTAGTAACTACGCATAGCTAAGGAATTGTTTATGATAAAAAATAAAAATGAAAATGAAATAAAAATATAATGCAGAGTTCAAATTAACTCTCGGTTATACCTTTTTGCAACTTTTCTGATTTCTACTAATATTGTTTTATATTTCAATTTTGCAGATGTCGTTTACTATCAATAATTCAGCGAATATAACTCTTGAGAAGGAACAAGAATATTGAAGAAATTTAAACACAAACATCAATGAACTGGGTATTTTCATTAGTGCAGAATTTTCACGTTCTTGTGTAATACAGTTTCTATACTACATTCTCGAGCGTTTTATTTGACGGTATATATTGGAAGGGGATAGGCCTTAAGTGACGATTAATCGATAGGACCAAAAGAAGAGGTTTAAATTTAGGCCGAGCAAATTAAGTGGGAGGTAAGTAGCTTATACTTATCAGCAATAAGCGGGATAGTTATGTTATAATTAACATGGAGATTTGAAAAAGGAGAAAAAAGAGGATGCATAAGAGGGTCTTTTCGTGGGTGACGGAAAAACCTCAAAGTGCTTGTTGCAAATTCGCGCTACATAGCGCGTACTTTTGGGGCGAAATTTCGCTCAAATAACGTCGGGTTGCAACAGGGCTTAGCGCGTTTTTCTACGATTCACCTTTTTAGATCTACTTCAAATTCAGTTATCGCTCACCCGTTTATACTCTAGGGGTCTGTTATATTCTTAATACTCCACTCCTATTTTATCGAAAATAGAGCCGTTCGAATTTACCCATGATTAATGATTACTCTTTAGATAGGTTAGACGTACTATGGTACGTCCTAATAACCGAAACTCGTTCCACGTCTTAAACGTAAATAACTCTTGAAATATATATCTGTTGCATGTTTATCCAGTGAATAATCCCGCAATTGCAATTATGGGATCTAGTTAGTGCATATAACCATACCCCGAAACTCTTTAAGTTACTATTTAGAAAAGACGCGGTTTGGAGAGCAAAATTCTGGTGAAAAAACACCCTGGGGTGGTGGCAGGGTTTCAGCTCTCACAAGTACGCATACGATTTCGCGAATTCGTAAAGCTCACTATTCGATCGAAAAATTCTATGATGTTCTAACATCCTGGAATATATATACATGAATATATTCATGTATATGTATATATGAATATGTATACCCAGTCAGCACAAACGTCACCGTTTAGTCACCTAAAACGCACCGTTTTGTCTCGCGAGAGTCACGGATTAGTACCTATCGAAACCGATCTGTGACTGCCGGTGACTCTCAAAAACAATTTGGCAACAATTCACCGTGCTTTCCTATTCATTCCTTAACGTAAAAGTCACTAGCCAACGTTCATTTAATTAAATGAACGTTGGCTGCTTTGTTTATGATATGGGCCAATTATATGGTTCTGAAGACCTTGTTTATAATGTACATTGTTTAATTCATTTGGCAAAAGACTTCGAAGGACAACTGGATAGTTTTTCTGCTCTCAAATTCAAGAGCAATATGAATAACATCAAGCGTTTGATATACGAAACTGCTAAACCAGCACAACAGTTAAATCGACGCATAATTGAGCGTCTGTCTAATCCGGTTGTTGTTCGGCCATCCCAAGTACTTGACAACTTTGGATCAGTTAACTGATTATCTTCTTTCTCCAAACGATTTACGTTAACTGATATTATTTTGTATAGTCCCTGATCACCAGGTAACTGTTATTATAGACGGGGAACTTATTATTATTATTATTATTATTATTATTATTATTATTATTATTATTATTATAAGGACTATCAATGAGACAACTGTTTTGTTTCAAAAGTATAATTATTCTTTTTTCGACAAACCTCTTAACTCCTCTTTTGTATATTTATATACTTGTGCAGATATTTAATAAGCTGTACATGTTGCTTCTACCTCAGCCATAAAATTTAAATGTTTTTCATTACCTGAATCCGATCATTTTGTTTGCATATCGGTATTACATGCAATTCATCACTGAGCTTCTGTCTTCTGACATCTTTGGACAATTATCAACCGCTATACATTAATAGGCAATTAATTCTAGTCATCCCTTTTTAGATGCACTATATTGTTCACTTTGCGAAGGACAACGCCATCGCGATAGTTTTAAAGAAATAGATGATCTGCAAGGACCAAGTCCGTTTCCCCGCATCACCGTTTCCGAGACTATCAGGTGTATCCTCATGGCTAACTCGGACATGCCACGGAGAGCCCCCGTTTTCCAAGTTTTCATAATGGCTTAAACCGGTAAGCAACAAAACGT